AACAATCCATGTGATATACAATACTAGCAATCAGAACATACATGGATGTTATTCTAGATGTGGTGAATAGATATAAAAGAAATCCACAATTTTTCCTTATTCGCCTAAATTTTAGCTAGTAGGCGATCCTTATACTCATAAACGAAACCATCAGGTTTTAGTTTTTCTTTTCAAGTATCCATTTATTACCCATGGCTTCACTGCCAAGAGGTAATTCTCAAAGATGCCAAATCTTGTTATATTCCATCGATATATTACCCACGGCTTACGGTTGACAGGTAACTCTATAGGATTCTAAGTCTTATTAGACTCCAATAATTCCATTTCTTTAATAATGGATTCTCTCACAAATCTGCATCTTTATGGAAGTTCAAACTTCTTGCAGACTTGTAGGATCTTTCTTTCTTAGGCTGTAAATAACAAATTCACAACCAAAATCTTTTCGTGATTTATGGTCATTTGTCTCTTCTGAGTTCATACACAGATTCATCACCCCCACTAGTTATCCATTATTTCTAATAGTATGCAGGATATCATCCCCACTATTTCTTAATATAAATGGAATCTATTGGCATCAATGGATTTCACAAACTAATGAGTATATCGTTTCACAGGCTTATGTGTTTTACTACAACATATCCAATAAACATATAATCATATGCTTACTTGTAATAATATAACACTGATTCTCTAATTCTTCTACCATCCAACCAAATAATCAGAGCAATCAATAATAATGCGATAAAGCATTTCAAGCCATTCCAAATAGAGAAATTTTACAATGCTATATAGTATTGGTGCTATAGGGTTTTGCCTTTATGGTACAACTTAAAATTGTACATTTACGTTATGGTACAACTTCATATTGTACCTATACTTTTTGTACAAATTCTTTTATGGTACAACTTGAACTTGTACCTTTATGTGATGGTACAACTTCAAGTTGTAAAGTTGTACCATAACATAATGGTACAAATTGTTTTATGGCACAACCTAAACTTATACATTTAATGTTATGGTACAACTTTAAGTTGTACATTAAAGCACCAATACTATATAGCATAGTAGAAGTGCTCTTCCAAATAAGCATTTCATTACGTTTACCCATATCAAATGTTCCAGATCAAAGATTATGATTATCTAATCACATATTTATAGGTCTATTAGCTTAGCTATGGAAATCACATATCTATCACACCCATTATGAGAATGTGACCCTAGCTATTCAACTCTCCTAGATGTACGTCAAAGACGTGCATTCAAGACTCATAAGACTTTAACTTATCATCATATGCATATTCTTATGACCACTGTCAATAGTGGAGTGAACAATACTCAATAACATTTTCTTAAATAGCATATGCCTTAGTATGCTTCGAGGTGCCAATATTCAGCCACATTCTTCAGAGTTACAAGCAAGGTTAATCTCTGCTCTTTTCACAATCATCACAACCACCAATCCTCCTCTTCAATCAAGTTAACACTTAACCAGTGTTATCCTTGTTACTACACTTTCGCGTCATATGACCTGATTTCTCGCAACTATAGCAGAGAAATAGAGCGTCATTCTTAGAGGATTGGCCGATGATCCTTTGGTTACCACGAAGGATACCATTCTAATTGGTATCAATCTGATTCGGTTTTCGATTATGATTCTTGAACCTTTTATGAATGGCACATATAATACTGACAACCAATACTTCTTTCATGAGATTAATATGGACATACAACCCATTTCACTAGCATATTTATCATAGAATATGCATTCATATATGCTTTAGATTATGCAATCATATATTTAAAATTACTATACTTCATAGCATGTACACAAAATTGTACTATAATTATTGAGAAAAACACATCTCAATATCAATATATTCATGCGTCAATTCTAGTTTGCTTATTAGCATTCACAAAATTTCACAATTTCATACATGAATCTACATAGAATAACTTTCAATTCTGTCTTTCTTTGAGCATTGATTAGGTTTCTCAATACGATGCATAAAATTATATGACAAAGATTCTAATTTTGTCATTCATTAAGGAGGATTTCAACTCTTACCTCTCGTTCGTCCCTTATTGCTGCTTCCAATGAGCATCCTTCTGTTAAAAATATAAATTATGGGTACTAGTTTGTAAATAAGTAACCAACGTGTATTAGGGTTTGTCCACACAAACCTATATATGTATCTGCTGTAAACTATAGAAGGTAACAAAAATGATTAAGGGATTATTTTGGAGAGTTCTACCTTTCCCGTGGACTAGTCCTGACATTCAGGGAAACCACGTTAAAATCCTTGTGTACTTTATGTTTCGTATGCCAAATTAACATGATATCAGAGCCTTTCTACTAATTCTTGTCTTTGTTTCTGGCATTAGTTGGTTCTTTGTTCCCCGTAGTAGTGAGTCACGTCGGCGCTAGGGTTCTCCTTTTTGACGTTTTGGGTTGTTTGGTGTTGCGGGGTTTTGCTGTGGGTGTTGGCTCTTGGTGGTTGGTTTGTCCTCTCCGCTTGACTTATTTTGTTGTGTTCATTTAGTTGCTGCAGCGTTTGGGAGATGGATTCCTCCAAGATTGATTCCGTTGCGGTTAAACTCGATGGTAAGAATTTTCCTCTTTGGGAGTTTCAATTTCGCAACTTTGCGGTTGGGAAACGATTGCTTGGTGTGTTGTTGGGCGAGGTTAAGGCGCCCTCGCCAGAGGCGGCGGTGAAGGACCATGAAGACTGGGCAGCCGCCAATTCTCAGCTGGTGACTTGGTTGGCTGCGACTGTGGATGTGCCTACAACTTTAGGTTTACGTTGTTTTACGACGACAACAGAGATGTGGCAGCACTTTGTTCGTACCCACTCTCAGAATAGTGTTTCCCGTTAGTTTGAGCTCGAAACTGAACTTGGTCATCTTTCTCAGGGTGATAAAGATATCCGTGGTTATTATCAGGCTAGCCTTCATCTGTGGACAGAATATGATCTTCTCGCTACTTCGTTAGTTCCTAGTGCAGACTCGGCTGCTATTATCAACGAAGGCAGTCGTACAAGAGTTATGTAGTTCTTGTCCAAGCTCCGTCCTGAGTTTGAACCTATTCGAGCTTCTCTTTTGCACCGTGGTATTGGTACTATTGATGATGTGCTGGCTGAATTAGTTTGGAAAGAGACTTGTCTTAAAAATCAATCCCAGATGGATAATGCGAGTTCCGCTGGTTCTGCTTTTGCTAAGGGCCAATCGGGTCCGTCTAGTCGGCCGCAATTTAATTGTCCTTCTCCTTGCGATGTTCCATGTAACTTCTTCCATGAGGTTTGTCATCTTCAAATCAATTGCTGGCTCTTCCTCAACTTCGGCCTATGCTGTTCAGAATGGGTCCGCGTCCTTAGCTGCTGGCGGCATTCCAGAGGGCTCCTCGGCTGCTGTTGGGTTCTCTCCTGACCTGATTTGAAAGCTTGTGCAAGAGGCACTTCAGGAAGTTTTACCCTCCGCACTCACGTCCGCCTTTGCTACTGGTGTGGCTTCAGGTACACGCTTACGTTGGCTTCTTGACTCAGTCGCGTTTAATCATTTGACTCTTGCTCGTTCTTCTTTTCCGCCTCTAGTACTTCCTCACACACTCAACTCCAAGTTGCAAATGGGGCTCGGTTATTTGTTGATTGGTGTGGCACGTTTTTCGGCTGGTTCTGTTACCTTGCCGAATACTTCAATGTTCCTAAGTTGGTTCCGAGTTTAGTTTCCGTTGGGAAGTTGGCTGAAGAAGGGTGTTAGGTTACGTTTAGTTCTGGCGGTTGCATTGTGCAGGATCAGAGGACAGGGAGGGTCCTATAGAAAGGAGGGAAGCAAGGTCGTGTGTTTGTGCTAGACGAACTTCCCCGAGATGGAGGACAACCACCACCACATTCTGTATTGACGGGGAGGGACGGTCAGCAGGAGGAGTCTACTGTTGGGTGTGAGGATAGAAAGCTTAATGCTGGGAGTTTATCACATTGTATGGATTTGATAGATTGTTCTTCAGGGCTTTTGGGTTATTCGGTTAGAAAATTGGATTTTTTCAGTTAAAGCTTCTGCTTGGGATTTATGGCATTGTCGGTTGGGTCATCCAAACTCAGCTCATTTAATGACTATGTTTCGTTGGAATTTATTACCAGAAAAATTTGATCTACTTCTATTTCTCATTCTACTTGTGTCAGCTCTATTGAGGGGAGAACACATCAGATTTTGTTTTCTTCTAGTGAGACAGTCTATGAGAACCCGTTTGATCTGGTACACACCGACTTGTTGGGTCCCTTGCCAGTGCTATCCGGTTAGGCTATTGATACTTTGCTCTTTTCATAGACCATGCAACACGGTTTACGTGGGTATATTTCTCAAGCATAAATCCGAGTTAGCCTCTTTAGCCAAGGAGTTTGTTCAAATGGTTAAGACACAGTTTGGTAAAACCATTAAGAAAATTCAGTCGAACTCAGGAGGAGAGTTTACATCTCATGATCTCGCGACATTCAACAGCTTTGAAGGAATTCTTCCACAAGAATCATGTCCCGACATTTCATAGCAGAATGGTCTGGTAGAACGAAAGAATCGCCATGTTCTTTAGCTGACTAGAGCCTTGTTGTTTCAATATCGGGTTCAAAATCGTTTTTGGGTTGAGGTAGTTCACACTGTTGTGTACCTTATTAATCGTCAGATTACGTCTTTGTTGGGACAGTGCTCACCGTATCAGGTTTTGTTTGGGAAAGTGCCTGATTATTCGACCTTGAGAGTTTTTGGGTCGACATGTTTTGTACTTCAGCCTCGCAAGGAACGTCACAAGTTGCAACCAAAGACTTCTCGTTGTGTGTTTATAGGATACAGTGATAAACACAAAGGTTACCTATGCTATGATCCAGTCGATCGTCGGATGCGTATTTCTCCCCATGCGGTGTTTCTCGAGCAAGTAATGTATTATTCAACGAGTAAGGATGAATTACCTGACTCTATCTCATTGGATTTCTTGCAACCTCTACCACAGTTTGAGCATGTTGAAGTCCCGGCTGGAGCTCCCCATGCAGAACCTGCCAGGCAGACCAGTTCTAGCTCGATTGGCTGGAGTTCAAGCTCCTCTAGCTCGACAAGTCCAGGCTCTGCAAACTTGTCACCGTCCTCCTTATCAAGGAGACAGCTTGGTATCTTCCTCACACACGAGCAGCTCGAGCAGCGACTCCGATGGGACTGATCGACAGACTACTCCTTCCCCAGTTCAAGCTTTGGTTCTACTTTGAAGGTCAACGCGTGCTACACTTGTGCAGCCTCCTACTCGGCTGTTGGACTACGACGTTGGTTTTTCTACAGCTCCTATTTTTATTCCGGTGTGTTATGTAGAGGCAAAGGGGGACCCGAATTGGGACCGTGAGATGCAGGAGGATTTTGGGGAGCTTGAAGTTAATCACACGTGGGATCTCGTTCCTCGAGAGCCTACAATGTCTGTGATTGATAGTCGTTGGGTATACAATGTCAAAATGAACCTTGACGGAGCTCTTGAGAGGTTTAAAGCTCGTGTAGTTGCTCGAGGTTACGACAGAAATATGGTATTGGTTACGAGGAAACCTTTGCACTTGTTGTTAAAATGCAGACTGCGAGGTGTGTATTTGCAGTAGCGCCATTGAGAGGTTGGCCTATGATTCAGTTAGATGTGAATAATGCATTTCTTCATGGTGACCTGAAGGAGACGGTCTATATGGAACGACCACCAAGATAAGATAAGGGTGATGCGAACATGGTTTGTAAGCTGGTCAGATCGTTGTATGAACTTAAACAAGCACCGAGGGCATGGTTTGAAAGGTTTCATGGGACCATAATCCAGGAGGGTTTTGAGCAAAGTCAGAATGATCCTTCTCTGTTTATTCGACAAATAGTGGATGAGATTGTAGTTTTGCTCATATATGTGGATGATATGGTGGTGACCGGCAGTGATGCGCAAGGTATTAAGGAGTTGACCAGCTCACTTCATCGTGCTTTTAATCTAAAGGAATTGGGTGATGTTGAGTACTTCTTGGGCCATCAGGTTCATCGTTCTGCTCTCATGGCCTATTTGTTTTTCAGAGAAAGTATATCACCGATTTACTGGAGACGGCTCAGTATAGTGGCTATACACCATATTCAACACCCATGGAACAAAATTTGAAGTTGACTCGTGAGTGTGGCGAGTTGCTGGCCGATCAGTTGGCTTACCGGAGCTTGGTGGGAAGTTTGATCTATCTCACGCATACTCACCCAGATATTTGTTATGTTGTTCAAGTAGTGAGTCAATATCTGGGCATAACGAGGACGATGCACTTAGATGCAGTTCACAGACTCTTGAGATACTTGAAGCAAACACAAGATGTTGGACTATTTTTCCTGGCTGTAGGTGAACCAGTTGTTGAGGCTTTTGCAGACGCATACTATAAGGTTGCAAAGATACTAGACGATCAACATCTAGGTGGTGTGTGCGATTCGAACAGTCATTTGTCTCTTGGCGTTGCAAGAAGCAGGATCGTGTGTCGAAATCTTCTACAGAAGCAGAATACCGCTCAATGTCAGAGGTGAGTTCTAAGATGGTTTGGTTGCTGAGGCTTCTCAATGAGTTGGGTGTCACATGTAGGGTTCCAATGAGAATCTATGGCGATAATACGAGTGCAATACAAATTGCTATTAACCCTGTATTGCATGACAGAACGAAGCACATTGAGGTTCATGTTCATTACATCCGGCAGCTAGTGGCAGAGGGCACGATTCAGGTTGGTTACTTGATTACTGAAGATCATACAGCGGATCTACTCACCAAGGCTGTAGCTTTGAGTAGGCATTGATACTTAGCTTCCAAATTGATGTTGAGCACCCAACATCAATTTGAGGGAGGGTATTGAAAATATAAATTATGGGTACCAGTTTGTAAACAAGTAACCAACGTGTACTAGGGTTTGTCCACACAAACCTATATATGTATCTGCTGTAAGCTCTAGAAGGTAACAAAAACAATTAAGAGATTATCTTGGAGAGTCCTACCTCTCCCGTAGACTAGTCCTGACATTCAGGGAAACCACGTTAAAGTCCTTGTGTACTTTATGTTTCGTATGCCAAATTGACACCTTCCCATAGCTTCGGTTTCAAATCAGAACTTTGCCCTAATATCCCAGGGTTCTCGATGACATCCCGCCAGCTGGAAGCTTCCACAAGGATAGCCACTGCCGGCAAGCTAGGGAAAGGATCAGGTCAGTAACTTTATAGTGAGTAACCATGAGTAACCCGCCCACAGCAGTATGACATCAGCATCTCTCTCTCTCTCTCTCTCTCTCTCTCTCCTGGAAAGCCTTTAATTTTCCCCTTCTTAATCTTTGGCAGACGATTTCTCACTCGTTTTAAGTCAAATTTTTTTTTTTGCACAGTTAGATCAGATTAATTGTGCTATTCAAAATGATATCCACTTTGATATATTTTTGGAACAAAAAAAAATTGAGCCATTATGGTATAGACTGGCATTGAAATAAGAGCATACATATGGTTTGAAAAGCGTACCGTGGTGGTATGAACAAACCAAGACTGTAGGATGGTTGAATACATGATAGTAGAAGTATATTAACTGTCATTTATGACTTTTAACATTGTATACCACAAGATACCACCTCGTACCAAGGTGGTATTTTATGGTATTGTGTGGTAATTTTTAGTCCTGTAATTTGTTCACCTAGAAATTTGTAGATCTAATAGATCATGATGAACTCATTCCTTCTGTGCAAACGTTTTCAAAAACGAATTAGAAACGAAGAAGATACCATATGGTATGCAGTTGGTACCGAGAGGAAAGATTTTTTTTCTAAAAGAATATTGAAAATTGATCTCGTTTTGTAGAGCACAACGAACTCGTTCAATCTGTGCAAAAAAAATTGAAATTCGAGTTAAAACGAGAAGATATGAGTCGATTAAGAAAACAAAGGAAAATAAAAATGAACTTTATGCACCCTATCTTGAGCCCCAAGCTGGTTGGCTCTTCATAATCCCTATGGTCCGTGTAAGTATTTTAATTGCTTCCTTTTCCTTTGGCTACTTGCTTCACAAAAGGAAAAACTAACAGTAACAATCTACACTACTTAATTATAATACATTTTAAAGAGTTTGATTTGCTCCATTTCAAATTTCCTGCAACGAGAGTGAAAGTAGGAAGGGTATTTTCGTCTACACAATCAATTTTTTTATTTCATATAAAAATATATCAATGCTAAGATTTGAACCATGGTCTCTTCCATCCTAGACAAGAATTGTAACAAATCAGACTAGACACAATTGTTGTACTTTATTAATACAAAACAGAGAGGAAGTTAAAATTATGAAAAACAGAGTACTTTTCTATCACGGTTAGTTAGTATGCTAAGTGTCCTGTAAGTATTTTGTGGTGTTTGGTAATTCTATTTTCATATTTTAATAATTAATTTAGAATTTTTTCTAAATTATAAATGAAGGATAATCTTAAAATCTCAACACAAATATCATTGGTTGGAATATTGCGCATTGAATTGAAGTGTTCAATGAAGTGTTCAATGAAGACATAAGAGCATTGGTACCATACATTTCAAGAAAAATAAACATGACAAACACCGATACCAATTATCTCGACAGTCTATGCTAAAATTCGAATTTGTTTAATCATTTAATTTGAGTGATAGTTTAGTCAAAGCAAGCAAATAATTCACGATTGTGTATGAACAAAAATAAAAACATATGTATTGTATTATGAAAAATGTATTTATTTTAACAATCTAAAAAAAAACAATCAAGACTTCCATATACAACCCTTATTTCAGCATTGTAATTAACGAAACAATTTTTATCAACATGATGCAATGTTCAAGCTAAGGTCCAATTATTAATCACCAGTATATAAAGTTAAGGTCCAATTATTAATCACCAGTATATAATATTCAGCTTAGTAAACTATTTCAATATCCACAGCTAACTATTAACGATTACTTGCTTTCTGTTTGAGGGTTTAATGTAATACTCTCATGCCTACACTCTAAGCATTTTTTTCTTTTTTTCCAATATTTTTTGCAGTTATTTGTTAAATCAACTATGTTTCTAGTTTTCCATTCCTAATTATTCACTGCTTCCTACCAACTTATATTTGGGAATGATGAATATTTTTTTATTGACTATGAATGTTGCTTTACTTAAATTCAACGGTGATCGAATTTATAAGATGCTCTCAAAGTTTGCTATAATTATTGAGGTTCAACAACACGTTAATCGTAAGGTGGTCATTTGGCATTTGTCTATCTCCTAGCTCGCCTAGACACGCTTAGACGTTGTAATAAAAATAGTAATTTTTAATAATGATGATGAAGTAACAGTTTTGAAGCACTTTCAAATGATTTAACAACAAGCAAAATAACTCTCAAGTTTATAATTTTTTTATACCAAATGGTATAATTAATTCATTTATGACCTGAAATAGCTAATTATAAGCACTTAAATTTTTAAGTTAAAACTCATATGATACAATTGTTTGACGAAGTGGTTTTTTTTAATCATAGAGTGGTTCTATCGAGAAAGGTCTCTAAGAACATGGCTTACTTTATTATTTCTTAGGTAGATATAATATATATCTTCATCGTTACTTTTATATTGAATTCAATTTAGTATAGTTTTTCGTTTATATAGATTTTTTAATGATTTTTTGGGATATAATATATCATTATTGTATGATGGTGTAGGATATTAGTTCCTCTCATTTTAGGTTCAAATTGATGCGTTTTCTCCTTTATCGTCCCTTTTATCAGTAAATAATTTTTATGATATTTTTCACTATGAAATATCGTGAGCAGAATCTATACACACCAATTTGTGTTTTTCTCGCTTCCTCTTCTCTTGATTAGATATTGTGTCCATATTGATTATTGAATTACTAAGATGCATATTGATTCTTATATTGATTAATGAATTACTATTTTTTTTTTGTTCTGGAGTTAATGAAACTAAGATGCATTTTTTTGAGAAACATGAAACTAAGATGCATATTGATAAAGAATGTAAGGTGTCATCTTCCCTCTTAAGGCTTAAGCACTACATACCATTGTTTACCTACTGTTAAATCAAAGTCTTTCTAACTTGAGTACGAGTTACAATGAGTTTTATTGTTGTCGATTTTTCCCAAAATATTAAGTATGTTGCTTTTAGTTCTCGCATTTTTTTCAGTTTGATTTAGCTTTTTAGGTGTTGCTCTATTAGTTGAACTTGTCAGTTGGAG